ATCTTCTTGGATTTGTTCAGTCTCCAGGATGTCATCTTCTTTTTTCACGAATTCGAGTACTGTCGTGACTCCTGTTCCTTCCTTCCACGACATTGGGGAAAACGGGAGCACATAATGAATGTGTAAATCGGTCATATGAAGGTGGCTGTAGGAAAGAGATACACTACCAAAAAGTTAAATAAAAAATAAGGACGAGGAGTGATGCCACAACGGTTGAACACAAAATTGGTCAAGGGGATTGCCTTCACTTGTCACTTTGCTCAGTTGTAACTCTGTGCTGACGATAGCACCTCTCATTGACGATGCCGACTATGATGCTAGCAAAACGTTTGGGAATGTACCAAGTAGATGGTCCGATGCTGTAAATCACGATTACTATGGCAGAGGACACAGGACTATGTACGACCCACAAGGTCTCCCCAACTCTCCTACCAAGTTGCGAATTTGATGTAGAACCAGCACTATTAAGCTAAATATACTGCGACCACGTCATTATCGTCATATTTACGATCAAATTTTGTTTTGCTTGCCAAAGTGGATTGAGGTTTTGACTTCACACTTCCATCTAAATATATTTTTGATTCTTTTTTATATTAAGTAAAACAATTTAGTTAAGCTTACTGTAATGAGGGCCCATTTTTCTGCATTCGCCTTACTTCCTTTTTATATTTTTTCCCTTTGTGCAAGTGCATGCGCATGAATACCCATCAATAAACTAATCAACCAACTTAACCATAAACTGACACCCAACCGCACATATGCATTCATGTACATAAATTATTCCAAATTAATTGATATAAAAACAGATTTCTCGCGTCGTGAAACGGATTAGAGCTGCCGACTATTTAGAGTGCTCAGCAAAGACCGGTGAGGGTGTCCGCTTTGTCTTTCAAGCAGCCGCTGAGTTGGCTATACGTCCAGGACGCGACAGATTTGAGGGCGTGGCTTGTCTTGGAGGTGGATGTTGCCTAGTCTAACTTAGACGGAATACACCTGCCCATCGAAACTGGAGGCCATGCCAATCACGGTAAACGAGGAAGCGAGATAAAACGGCAATTGTCTAAACAACATTTTGCATTATGGGAATGGTGGATAATATGCATGGACTCGCTTACTCTCGTCCAATATAAAGTGAACGAAGATATGAGGTTTTATTATTGCTTATTCAATAGGAGATTCCTGTCAGGGAGTTGTGGATCCAAGGGTCAACTGACCTCTGGCATCCAATGCCAAATGTATCCACATTACCTTTTAACTGTTTTGTTGAGTAGCTGTCGCTTCCAATTTCCTCGATTTGTCTTTCTGTTTAACAAATCTCACCCGGGGAATTTCAACAACAACAATAACAAGTTGCCTCTATTCCTTCTTCATAATCGCAAGATATTATTTTCGCTTCCCCAGCTAACCAACTTTTTTAGCTTTCAGTTTTCTTTTCCCATTTTATATTTCCATCTACCATCATCATTTTATTGAGTTTCCTCTCGCTCACCTTCCTCCGACGCTTAACTTCTCTTCTCTTAAAATGCGAATAATTGCTACAGACTGAATATGTTGATCAACTCAGACTCACTTTCGTTTCTTAGGTCTTTTCCTCGAGCTGTGTTCTGGCAAAAAATATGAGGCTGTAAATTTCACTTATGTCTCCTATACATGGAGAAAACTCAAACGTGTATTCATTTGTATGCTCTTTTTTCAAAAAAACTTTTGTATTTTTCTTATGTGCAGACTATGGAGCATCTAAAACCTCCACAATGTGGTTTCAAAAGAGTGCATTTGAAGCCGATCAGACCGGATAAACTTTGGTGTACAAGGAACTCAGAATGAGACTTTCAAGCGAAATGTCTATCCAGATGAATTAGGCGTCTGAAAGAAGATAACTTAAACCAGGTCTTTCACTAATATGATACCATTTACATAAGAAGCTTTGTTACGATATACTTTTTATATAAACCAGTTTTTTTTGCTTATAGCGAACCTAGTTGGTTGCCACCTAATTTATTTATGAATCTCTCATGAAGTAAAAATATTATTTTGGCTAATTTAGGCTTCAGGGAGTCATAAGAGAATTGAGCGAATTGTAAGATAAACTTTTTTGGATTGCTCAATTGCAAGCTTTACCTTCATCACAGCAGAAGTGCAATTCTAATATTGCTTTGATCGGCTTAAGCCCCCAGTGGACATTGGCTTAAGGAAGTTATTGAGCTTATTTCCATTTCGAGTGAAGGTGTCGGGTGAAGAGATTCGAAGGTCGGTTCTACCAAAATACGACGGCATATTCCTCTTGACCATATTTGAGTAGGGTTTCGAGACTACCAGTAAATCAGTGTAATGAGATGTATTCACCCTATTTCGTGTA